TGCTGAGTTTTATGACTTCTGTGTATGTTTTGGATAAAAGCCCTTTATTAGATGTGTCTTTTGCAACATTTTCCCCAGTGTGTAGCTTTTCTTACTGTCTTGATCTTACTTTTTACAAAGTTGAAGTTTTTCACTTTAAAGAAATCCAGGTTGTTAAAAATCTCTTTCACAGAATGCACCTCTAGTGTCTTAAAAAATCACAGCTAAATCCATAGACATCTAGGTTTCTTGTATGTTCTTGAATTTTTAGCATTTTTTATTCTAAATGTAGTTCTATAATCCATTTTGAGTTAGTTTTTATGGAAGGTGTGAAGCCTGTGTCTAGATTGATTTTTAATATATGTATATTCAGTTGTTCTGGCACCATTAATTGAGAAGGCTCTTTCTGCACCACAATATTACTTTTGTTCTTTTGGCAAAGCTCAGTTGAGTATAATTATGTGTGTGTGCATTTCTAGATTTCTTATTCTTTTCCATTTGCATATACTTTTGCAAAATATCACACTGTCTTTATAAAAAGTCTAAAGTTAGGTAATGTTAATCCTAGAATTCTGTTCTCCCTAAATATTAAGTTAGCTATTCTGGATATTTAACCTTTAGATTATGTAGATTTATATATGTAGATATTTGTAGACATTTTATTGTGTAGATATTTGTAGATTTATGATATCTATAAAATAGCTAGCTGTATTTTGATTGGGTTTGTTAGATCAATTTAGGAAGAAACGGAATCTTAACAATATTGCATCTTCTTATCCATGAACATGGAACATCCTTTTATTTACCTGCTCTTTGACTCTATTCTTCACAGTTTTATAGTTTTCCTTAAGCAGATTTTCTACACATTTTGTTAAATTTATACCTACATAATTCATTTTGGGGTGAAACAATAACAGATTCTAATGCCTGTCTCTTCAAACTGTGTTTTGCCTTCTAGTATGCTTTGCAGCTTTTTGGAAGGGAACATGATGTATCATGTGAATGGAATGCTTTAAATAGGCTCTTAGCAATACAATGGTAAAGTGCAGAGCTAGGGAATGCACTCTCTAGTTCTATCATTAGGTCTCAGTCTTTTGATGAGTCCATGTCCCTAACCAGTGCTTCTCAGTTCCCCACACCACACTCCTCAGGTGGAACAGGATGGCTCAAGGCAGCAAGAGTTATGTATTCCCCTTTGCTCAGTGTGGAAAGCTAATGCAGGCTGGAGTTGGTTTTCCCTGATAATTTTTCGGTTTGTTTATGCTTTTACTCCTTGTTAAGATAGAGTGGCCACTTCTATGTTTCTAACATACTGGACTGATCTCTCAAAGTTCCTGTGCTAAATTCTTATTTATCATAAGCATATAAAGTATTTGGAAATATTATACCTATACATTCTTAAACTATTCTTACTTAAACTATCCTATCTAATATTTTTAAGTTTTCTAAATTAGTATATGCTGGCACAAAATTTGGGATGCTTTTGTTCTTAAAAAGCTTTTATAGGTCTTATAGTTCAAGAACTTAAATCCTTTTAAAGTTCAGAGATGAATAACTTTTCTAAACCACTCATTAAAATAATAGATAAGACAATACAAAATATCAATTTATTTAAAAAAAAAACCCTAATAAAGGGCTTTTATCTAAAATCTACATAGAATGCATAAAACTCAGCAAAAAGGAAATGAAGAACCTATGACTTTGAATAAAATATAAAAACAGGTCATGCATCATTAAACATACAAATTCCACTGCATTTAAAAATGTGCATTATATATTCAATGACTGCTAGAATTTGAAAATTCTAGAATATATTTTCAACAGGATTATGAAATATACAGATATCTAGTTTTTATTCAGTGATTACCTACAGTTGCCAAAGAGATGAAATGCCCAGAAGTTTTCTTTGACTATCTTTGTTATAAGCATGAATGATTATATAACTAATGATTCATCATTACTGGAAATAGAAAATATTTAATTGAAGGTACATTTTGAAATACATATTTATAATTTTTAAATATAAATCTAAAGATTAAATTCATACTTGTATGTAATTTTCAAAATATGTCACATATAAAGATAAATAAACATTTAATTATGACAAGTAACATATTGCATATGAATTACGAACCTTTCATTATGCTCATTTCAGAATTCCATTTACGAATTTTCATAACTATTTAAACATTTTTTCAGAAATTAAACTGTTTGGCCCAGAAATAACACATGTACTTTACTGATGAAGTGCTAAACATTGCAGTTTACTGAATAATGCATATTTTTAATGGATTCATGAAGAAAGCGTGAACACTGTGTCATCCCACAGGTAACTGACAGTGTCAGTAACCTGGCAACTCCCCTCTTTGCAAGCATAATTAAATTTTTTTTTAACTCAGATTTATTTTTGGTTTCAATCTCATACCACATGAAACACACACACACACACACACACACACACACACAAATTATACTGTTATTCTTAGGTTTAATAGAGAATATATATGGCAAATATGTTTTACACAGTAAGTAAATAAAATGTTAAAAAACAAGTGATAGGAGAACATCTTCATAAGTTTTGTATAGTTTTAAAAAGCTCACTTTTAAATATGCAAGATTATTATGATATGAAATGATCATACTAAAATTTTAAATATATATAATGTAGAGTTACAATATAGCCCAAACCAAATTTCAGAAGTAAATTTAAAATCAAATTTATATTTATAGATTGTATAATTATATAATATGCCACGGATATTAATAATGTTGGAATATAAATGTGGACTTGGTAGTCTAAAGATTAAATAAATATTTGTATATGATTTTCAAACACTGTATTGCTAATTTATAATTTTTAATTCAAAAGTCCAACTTTTCTGTTCTTGTGAACATTTTATTTATTTTTATTGGTTCTCTTTAGTTATACATGACAGTACAATCCATTTTGACATAATTATAAAAGCATGGAATATATCTTGTTCTAATTCAGACTCGAGTACATCTGTTTTCCCCTACCCTTCACCATTCCTAGATCCCTTTCCTCTATTGATCTTTCTGCCATTTACTCATAGTTGTTTTTTTTTTAAATTAATTTCTTTTGGATATACGAGATCATGAGATTCACTGTGGTGTATCAATACAATGAATCTTGTGAACATTTAAAAGCACTCAAAACATCTCTATGCTCAATGATTATACAATGTATATACATATGTATAAATACATAAACACAAAACTAAAAAATAATAATCTAGATTTTTAGATGAAATGAAAGTTAATATTCTTGTGCCAATTTTCTTCATTTAGAATAGGATCTTCATTCTCATGTATGTCTATGTAAGAACTTATCAAAACTTGGGCAAGATGATCAAACTCATAAAGATTATGTGAAATTTAGGACTACTTTATTTCTATATTTAAGAATATCTCCTTTTTGAATATGTCTCAAAACCAGAAATTCATTTACAGAGGCCTAAAGTAATAGTAAAGGGCAAGGAAAGAAAGATTTCGAATCCTCATAATTTCCATAAGATGCTCCAAAGGCACTAAGAAATATACATTTTAGTACAAAGCATTTTTATTAACATTAGTCCCCTTTGACTCTCAAATTAGACTATCACCCCTATCTCCTCTTTGGAGACATATATGGACTATGCATGGGAATAAAACAAAAACAAACCAAAATATACCTCCTGTATTGAAACATCAAAATGTATTTGCTATTACATTTAAAATGTACTCACATAGGATACCAGCACTATAGTGTGTGTGTGTGTGTGTGTGTGTGTGTGTGTGAGAGAGAGAGAGAGAGAGAGAGAGAGAGAGAGAGAGAGAGAGTGTGTGTGTGTGTGTATGTGTATCAGTCATATCAGTCAGTGGTGCTTGGAACACTACTATTAAACTTATAAGCTGAAGTATTTCCATCAATTATGGATAAGGTTGAAATTCAGGATAAAAAGCTACTCACGAATTCTCAACATCTTTTCTGAAGAATGCTTTAGAATTCACAGTTAGAGTTTCATTCTTCAGAGGCAGATATCTATTGGCTCCAGAGATGTCTACCAGCTCATTCCACAATTTAAAGAAAAAAATGAAGAAAAGGAAAAGCAAAAGTATCTGGACAAAAATCAAAGAGGCTTTACCATACTAAGGATTTATATTTATAAACGAACAAACTAAGGAGAAAATATCTCTGTGTGATTAATATGATTAGAATGGAAATGTGAAAAAGGAGGAAGAAAAATAAATTACTGCATATCTTTAACAGCATATGCTTTGGAACAACAATGAGGGAAAATGTGGTCAAACTGTGTAAAGATATTCTGGCTCTTTAGTAGACAATTAAGTGAAAAGAAAAATCCACACAGTCTTCATTTAAATAATACTAAATTTCCCATTAAAAAGATGAAAGAGATCATATTTTTCTAAATTAAATCCATTTTGACATGCACATTTTAAAACAGCTTTTCTTTTTTACTATTGCAACAAGAGATCAGAATACTATTTTCAAAATGCTGTGCAAAAGTTACCGTGGTAACAGTGCAATTCCTTTTGAAACATAATTGTCTTAAAATTTATCAGATGCAATATGGCATATTTCCTCAGAAACTTTTTACATGTCCTTTTATAATATTATTATAACATGTGGCATTAGCATGCATGTAACTTCTATTCCATTAAATCTTTTTCTTCAGATGAAATGACTTTTTTCAAATTATTGCTATTTTAACACATTAATCTCATTATACAAAACGCTATTTTATATTTTAAGCCAGAAGGCAATCTGAAAACATGATTAAGAATGCATCTGAAATCAGGATGGGAAAAAATGTCTTTTCTTCAGTACTTATTACCTTTATAAATCATATTCTTACTTCTGCTTTAAAACTATCTTATTCATAACCTCAGATTTTTGGAATACAAAAATGTCCAAAATATGATTGAAATAATATAGCTACATGAGAAGCAAAGCAGAAAAAATCACAGAAAATCATAATTACAACATAAATATGTCTTACTCTTTGTAGTCCTTCATACCAATCATCTTGTTCAAACCAATGTGAAATGTAAGTCATCCAAGCCATAGAATGTGTCTACTTTAATCAAGGCAATTGGAAACTCGGCATCAGAATAATCAGCACCTAAAGTAACAATAATGTGTTTCAACCAAACAAGCTTTACCAAAATTTCCCTTGTGAAAAGGAGAGGCTAATATTGCAAAAACATTTCAGCTGAAACAGTTCTCGTAATTTACACATAATAATATCTGTGAAAAGAATGCTAAGTCAGAAAAGACTATATTAAAATAAGAAAAAAATTAAATAGTTATTTTGTTACATAGTTCTAGAGAATGCTAGATCAAATATTCTATTAGGCTTTCTGTTTAAATTCTAAAAATATCTTAAGTTTAGCTTTTGTAAGAAATAAGCAAATGATTTCTAAAATTTACTGAGTTTTTTTTAAAAAAGAAAAATCATAAAACAGTAAGCAAAAGATTAGTTCTAATTCCAACCTTGGGAGTTGGACATAAAGTTGGACATACAAAGTTTCTAGGTTAAAAGGCGTACATGAGAACAGGTGGACTTCAGAATATCCTGTATAAAGTCTAGATGCTTCACCCAACAATTAACAGGTTTTTTCCTGACCAAACTCTTCAAACTTTTACAATGCTATAGAGATCAAAGAAAAGGAAGAAGGAAAGGAAGGAGAGAAAGAGGGAGGAAGAGAGAAAGGAATGAAGCAGGGAAAGAGTGGGGGAAAAAAGAAAGAAAGAAAAATGGGAAGGAAGGGAGGGACCCAGGAGAAACAGAAAAATCTGAGTGTCTCCCCTTCACATCAAAAAAGCCTGGCAACTTTTCTTCTGAAATAGAAAGATACACTTGTATGAAATATATGTATCACTGTAGTTAGTTGAGAATGGTCTTATCTCTACTGAGATTTCTTATATTCTAGAAGTATTTTTAATATCTGCTTGAAGCATCATGTCAAAATGCTTGGGAATTGGCTCTGCTTTTGGCAAAGTCTCTTGCTCAATTTCCTTTCATTTTGATGTCTTCCTTGAATTTGAACCATGGCTATGTTCCCTGTCCTTATAATTCTTGCAGAGCCCTTTGTTCCTGCCTATCTGCTCAGTTTTACCCCATCTTCTGGAATTGTCAATCTCCTCTTTATTGTCTCTGTTCTACTGCTTATCCTACACTGACTTGCAATTCTTGATCTCAGTTCTGCCATATGCTTTTTAACTTAGAGAGAGCCCTGACACAAACACTCTAAACACCTTGCCATTGCCTCACTGGTTCATTTCTCTCCTAATAAAACTTAACCTAATTTGACTCAAGCCAAGCTCCTAAACTCTATTTCAAGCTACCTACTAAACCTAGTTCCCTCACACTTTCACTTCTTCATTCCAATATTAACGTGTAAAATTTAAGATCTTTTCAAGGGAGATTTCCTTCTCTATCACCACTATTCTTTATCTTGCATGCCCTATTTCCATGACTGCTATACTCTAGACAGTAACCTGAGATGAAAACATCAAACTCTCCTTGATTCTTTCATTAATGTCACCTTCCCTTCCTATTACAACTGATCACGAAGTCTTATTAAACTACCTTTAAAATATCTTTTCAAAAGACCTATCTCCATCCCTAATGCCAGTGTTTCTAATGAAACCTTTCATGATGTTTGTACAGACTACCAAAATGGGTTACTTATTGGTTTCCTGCTTTTATTTCAATTCCCAAACATGTGTTGTTCTATTCTTTCGGACTTCATGCCTTGAAGCTTTGAAATGCTCTTGCCTAAACTGTACTTCCTTTCTACTTTTTTTCTGTGAAGAATGTGTTTTTTCCTATTTTTCAAGACCCTCCTTAAATACTCATTTTTGAAGTCTTGCTCAAATTCTCCTAATCTGTGTGTCTTAATATCATATTTGTAAGCAATGAATAATGATTATTTGTGTAGCTAGCTATAAATGTAAAGAATCATGCTTTATTCATCTTTGTATAAAACATACAAAATGATAAGTGAATTGACATATATAGTGCTAAGAATGTTTGTCATCCAGTGGTATTTGATATGAAATTAAGGCACATATTTTTGAAACTTGGAAAGGATCCAAAGTAATGTATCCAAGTGAAATGGGTTAGTAATCCCATAGTAATTTACTATATACTTTCTTCTAGGAATGAAATCATTTGGAAAATATTTTTAGGGTCTAAATACAAACTTGAATTAGTAAGAATATTTTGTAGTCACTCTAAGCACTGAGTATATTTATTATACTATTAAAAGTCCAGTAAAATTAAAATTAATACCTTGTTTATAGGGCATACAATACTTATTTCTTGATTTCTTTCATGAGTACTCTTCACTATATTTCCAAGAATTAAAAAAAGAAGAAAATCTCACATGATGTCATCTAAGATTAAATGTTACCTTGCTTTTAAAAAATGTATTTCTTGGTTATACTCCAGGACCTTGGTTGTATTCCAAGTATCTGAATGTGGATGGGAATCTCTGATCATTTAAGGTAATAATGGTAAATAGGTTTCAACTCTCATACCTCCCTGGGGTGGAGAGTTGAAACCTTCAGTTGACCTCAGAGAGAAAGCATGTCATGATCACTTAGCAGTAACTAAGACAAGGAGGAAAGAGTTGTGATGGCACCTATTCCATATCTTTGCATCTCTATACTATGTCTGTGTATCTAATTAATATTTTATTAAAATCACAAACTTAACTAAATCCATGGAACTTATTACCTATTAAAATTAGTGATGTAAGGAAATGGCAATGATCAAATGCTAGATATCACCATGTAAAATAAAGAAAATGACAATCAACTTACTGCAGGCATTAAATATCCAAACACAAGTAACATGCATAGTCTGGTTACTGATCCTTATTTTCTTATATCCATCTTTGCATCTAAATCTTTGCCATAACTTCATAATAGATAGACTATATATTTTTGCTTATTATCTTTGGGTCTTTCCACAAAGCTTGCTTTGCTCAAGGATATATGGGCCGAAGTTACAAGGCTTCAATTCTAGGGCCAGATTCAAAGGCTATTTCCATTCACTCCTTTGTGCTGCTGACTTCAATGAAAGAACATTTCACAGCTACCCAATTGGTCCAAGAATGATGAGAAAATAAAAAGTGATTCAAATTCTTAACCTGAGTAAAATGATATTTTTGCTTATTCTCCAAGACTCATCCTGAGTCACTTATACTTTGATTTTACACTTAAAATTTTTCCATCTGTTTTTACCTGATACCTGACATCACAATATTGGCCTAATCCTCTGAAATGTTGGCATTTGCAGGCTACCTTTTTTCTATTAAATTCCTTCTTGCCAAGTTCTTACCTGCTATATTATCTATAGTTCTTAGTCTCCTATATCCTCTTTTTTTTTTTTTTTTTTTGGAACCAGGGATTGAACCCAGGGGCACTAAACCACTGAGCCACACCCCAGCTCTTTTTGTATTTTATGTAAAGACAGGGTCTCACTGGGTTGATCAAGGTCTCACTCAGTTGCTGAGGCTGACCTTGAACCTTGAACTCCTACCTCAGCCTCCCAAACCACTGGGATTATAGGTGTGTAGGAACATGCCCGGCTGGCTTGTCTCCTGGTTCTTATAAGAGCAATGATACTTATTTAAAACTTCCTAACAAACTAGATGAACATATAAAATAAGCACAGGCCATAACTTTTTCAACAACCAGGGTATAAATCAAATATAGAATATTTGATATTATTTAAAATCATCTGCTTTATTTTTTGTATTTATTCTGTCTTGAATTACGGTTAAGTGAGTTGAGGAGAGCTTGTGAAAGAGAGACTTAGGAAGTGTAAATGTTCCTTATGCCAAAGATTACTTGCACAAGTTGATACAGATCTGAGATCACCTGTCAGTCTACTTTTAATATAAATAGATGTTCCTTTTGAGAAGTCAGAATTAAAGTAAGATAGATATCAACAGTAATGTATCACCATAGTTCTGTGGAGTTGTCCATCTTAACTATACTCAAAACCTCACATAAAAATATCAAAGAAAGTCTGAGTTAGAGAGTAAATGTATAGTTTATTCAGTGCTCTTTGAAGTCAGAATGATTCTGAGTTTTGATGAATTAGAAAATCATTACTTTACAAAAACCTGGCTTCTAGCAGTAGAAGGGGTGTGTGTGTGTGTGTGTGTGTGTGTGTGTGTGTGTGTGTGTGTGTGAGCACACACAATCCTTCCACTGAAGACAACTAGAAAAGCTGGTTAAAAGTATGTAAAAATCTCAGACCAAGATCTCAGAGACAAGTGAAGGTCAGGGTCAAGCTAAACACTGTGTGTGTATGTGTGTGTGTGTGTGTGTGTGTGTGTGTGTGTGTGTGTGCATGCACACACACTCACTCATGAGCATGCATGCACTTGTATGCTACTTTTTCTCCAGGAGAGTGTGCCTACATAAAAGTAGTGAATGAAATCCTGAGAAGCTAAGAAGAACTTCTGGTAATTTCATGGTGCTAGAGGGACAACAATTAGAATTCAGATACTGCTAAGGAAAATGGTGTTCTCCAGTAAAGACCATCTGGGTCTATACATTAAGAAAGAAATGGACATATACCACCCCTCTGAAGAGTGAAATTCAGCTTCAAATACATTGATTCAATGACTGGATTAAGATAATCCACCATATTTTAGTATCTTCTGAAAGCAAAAGGACATCTCTCTGGAGGAAGATAACATTAAATCATTGGCATTCAATAAACTAATGACCAGGTAGGCAAAAATACAAAAACTGGAAATTATACTTCCACTTAATTATAAGTACATTAGTATGGACCCACAAATATCACTCCTATAGTATAATAAGAAAAAAGAGATGATGTAAAAAGTGTAATTTTTCTTTAACTAATTGAGGTTGCAAAACAATCAAGGAAGAAAAAAGATGAACCCCTCTAAAAAGAAACAGGGAATGTTTACCTCTTTACATTTGACAAAGCATGGGGAAAAAAAGGTAACTACCATAAAATATGGTAGGGAAAAGCCATTTTTAGAAATGCAGTTAATTCTTAAAAGCCAAGTGTGAACTAGAATATTAATTTAGAATAACTGGAAGGTCCAGATAAAAACTGAGTTTGCACTC